TCACGGGATTACTACTTGAGTTGGGCACTAACTTCTGCTGAGCAAACCTTACAGTAAGATTTAGTTCCAGGTAAAGATATTGTTCCATGATAAAAATAAGCCAAAGCAAGGAACGAGGGAAACTAAGCAGGTTTTGTACTGGTAAATTGGCTTCAGTGAAAGTCTTTTACTGGTATTTGTAATATCTTCTCAATTGAGAGAGAAAAATTAGTCAGTGACTGAGGAATAGCTTCACGACGTGGCTTGGTGCACCCCAGGAAAATGGGATGTTGTGCTCCTTCTTCCTCACCCCGGTGTGACAGGGCTGAGAGGGACAGAGCTCTCCATCTGCACTCTGGGGCTGCTGAATGGGAACTTCACAGCATGTGCATCAGGTGTAAACTCTAATGGCATTCAATGGAAATGTGTTCTTTCTTTGCAAAAGAAGCACTTCTGGCTCCTGTTAAAACCCCACTATTCTGTTGTGTTTTGTCTGGAAGATGAGGGGATCCTGCTCTGCTCTTTACTGTATGATGCCCCTTTTGCTGTGAATGGAAAGTTGGAGCTACCTCAAGCCACTTCTCTTTTGGAGGGTAGTAATGACTACTTCAAATGTGCAACCCTATTTGCCTGCATATAAACTTTTAATAATGTTCATTAAACTTTATTAGAATTGTTCGTGCAGCCAGATCAGGGTTACAAATTAAAACCTCAATCCTGCAAACACTTATGGAGCTTTATTCATGTAACCAAAAGGCAAAATTTCTCTTTCTATAGTCACACACTTAAACTGAATCTGAAATGTAAATACAGTGCTATTTATTTTCTTATCCTCTGGCATTAAGGCTAAAACCATGCAGGCAGGAACGAAATTATATGTTACTGGTGTTTAAAAAAAGAAAATAACTCCACAACCTTTTTGTAACTGCACTTAAAAAAATACCACGTGGAAAAAAAAATTCTATTGCAACAGACTTGGAAAAGTCAATGAAAAAAGTGAACTATGACTGTAGGTACATAATGATACACAAAAGTGCTGGCCAGAAGAGACACTGAAGTCTCTAGAAGTGTTGCAAGGAACTTTATGGGCAAAAAGATCAGATCAAATCAGAGCCTGATACAAGAACCCAGTGAAGCTGGAAAGAATTTTCCCATTGCTATGCTTTGAATCAGATGTAGTGACCAACAAACTGCAGGACTGCAGGTATAGGAGCAGCCATAAAACCCAGACAGAGTTTTTAAAGAAAACAGAAATGAGTGTCATAAAGTCAAGGTCAAATTCCATCACCAACATAAGTATATGTGTGAGAGAATTATACCTCTTTTAATGCTAAGTACAGTATTTATGATTATTTATTTATCTTGGAACAAAAGGTAGATTAATCCATTTATTTTAAAAAGGGTATTTTTATTCCATTGAGTAATTTCCTTTGAAAAAGAAAAATGTTTCCTAAACCCATTAGCAGTTAAATCTGATTTTTTTTTTGCTGTTTCTGAGATGAGGCTGCATATAATTATTCATGCATAATCTGATTTCAACAGATTCCTTTTTCACAATTTTTTTTGTGCATTTTCTTATATAAGCAAGAATTAATATAGTCAGGCATGAAAGAAATATGCTCTATTGTCTTTTTTTACAATTGTTTGGAATGTGCCATACATCATCTTTAACTCCCAATGACGTTCAAAACAGCCTGAGGAAAACACAAATAAATAAAGATATAAACAAGGAGAAATACACTAATAGGAAAATCATTTAAGGCTTGCACAGAGGTACATTAAGTATGTGTAATATAAGCAATGCAAATCATGAGCTGAGCCAAATTTTTTGAATAAGCACAAAAAATTACTGAAAGTTCACCCAGCCAGGCTGATAAGTGAAGTCAGAGCAGTGCCCAGAGTCACTGCCTGCTCCCCGACTGCAGCCAGATGCCAAAAGCTCAGCCCTTCATTCGCTGCCTGCCTGCGGGAGTGCCCCAGCACAGGGAGCTCCCTCTTCTCTAAATTCGAGCACCCTCCAGTGTGCACACCCAGTAACATCCACACACCAGCACCAACATCCCCACACCAGCAC